CAATTTTGTGATAATGTTTTATATAATATTTTGAAGGAGAATTAAGTAACCACTACTTCATTTGGAAGAGAAAATATCTTTGAATGAATTGTAATATAATAATTTCATTTAAGAAGAATTTATATCATTTGAATTGGAATAGGAAGATCTTTCAATAAGATATACGTATACTTAAGTTTCATCATAAAAATTAAAGATAGTACTATTTGGATTAAGTAAATAATAATAAAGATAGTATCACTTGGGGTTTACTTTTTATTTTGATAGTAGAATTTAACTTGACGCCACAGTTATTGAATCAAATTGTTTGTGTATGACCTGGTGTCATCTTGTATGGAAGGCTCGCTTATCAAGGCAACATGTAATAACGATTCTCTTTGTTATAATAATTTAAACTTTATTCGTTAGTCGAAATTAAGATTTATTTGAAGCGGGCGATCGGCGATATTCGTAATCCGATGACTGATGCATTCGATTAGACGCGTGCAACACGTATAACTTGCATTGATACTTTGAATATCTTCTCGCAGCTGTTAGGTAGAATTCGTATTGCGAGCAGCAACGAGACCAGCAAATTTCGCCAGAAACTCAGGCAATTCTCGCGCACTGAATGTCCTCACGATACGCGTATATCGGTAACGTTATGTGACAAACATACAGCGTTGATACGCGATGAATTGAAATAAGAAGACCTTCAATAAGAATATCCTTAAAGAAAAATTAAAACTACTAATTGGATACTATTAATCGGATTGGATACTTACTATTATATATAAAAGATCGGTTTCATCAACTTGATTAAGTTGAATATTAATTATTAAAAATTGCCGAATATTGGTCTTCAATAATTTTTTATTCAAATACTATTATTCATAGAAAAATTACAAAAGATTGAAATTATTTATTTTTTTCTGATAGAATTCTGAGAATTTTTTCAGAATTTTTTATTAACTTTTTACTTATTTTCTTATTTTTATCAACATGAGAAAATATTAAAAAATTAAATAATTTTGAAAAAATTCTCAAAAAATTCTCAAAACTTTATGAGAAGAAAATAATCAACTTTTGTCTTGCTGTTTTTTTTTTAAAGTTGATAATATTTGAATAAAATTATTGAAAACCAATATTCAGTGATGTTTAGTAATTAATATCTTGTTAATTATTATGAAAATTGTAAAAAGATAAAAGACTTTTCGACTTTCAGTTTAGTCCCCCCCCCCCATCTATTTTCTTGTTGAGTTATTATAGTTTCGCCAGACACCCAGTATAGTCAAAAGTTCTTTTTTCATTTATATTTTACCTCAAAAAACGATTTTAAAACAATATGATTATTTAACCAGTTTCTAAAAAACGTTTTTAAAATAATCATAAATGATTTTAAAATGAAAATAATCATTCATAAACATTTTATAAACATTCTTCTACTTGAGTTATATGTGCTAATTATAAATTTGTAATTATTATTGTAATTTTTATACACAAAAATTTAAACAATGTCAAAAGTTTCAACCCGAAATATTTTGTTTATTTACAGTACAATATAATCATGCAATTTCTGCATCGCAATGAAACTTTATATAATACATCTTGAATATTTAAAATACTTACACAAAAAAGTTAAAATTTTTGTAATTATCTTATAATATATATATATATTTCTACACATCTCCTCTAGAGTAGATAAAAAAATACTGTTTCTTAATAAAATTATTTTTTATACACATTCTAAACCATCGCTACATTTTTTATTTTTTGTATTTCATATATAGGATGTACCAGAATTAACGTAGGGGCCGGCTCGTACATATTCCTTATATAAATCGAAAATGTAATAGCAAAATGTTAAGGCATCAATAATTTTCAAACGATGAGCATTTGAAAATAATCAACCACAGAGCATGAAATTCGTCAGGAGTGGCGCAACTAAGCGGTCGGCCGCGCGAATGCTTTGACGGACGTATTCAATTTAAGAATACGGCAGTAGTTAATATAAAAATTTCACGAAACTTTGCAATACCCGTTCGATCCATGTTGTCGAGCGTTTTCATGAGAAATATGTACATACTGGCCCATGCGTTTACTCTGATATACTCTGTATACATTATATATATATACATATATATATATATA